ATTATGTTTGTTTTTATAATGTTCTTGTTTTGTTTTATTTTATTGGCAATTATAATACCTTTGAGTGAAGGGGGATAGTATGTTTTTCAATAAAGTTAGGGGTTCTTTCTACAATTAGACTTTGTATCATGTTTTTACATAGTCGTCTATGGGAGTTTAATTGTAGTTCGAAACAAGCTTTTGCATTGTCTATGTGAGTTTAAATATCGTATGGGATCCGAAATAAACTTGCTTTTCAAATTTTTACATATAATTGCAGCATGGTAATATGGTAATTTAAATATTCCTGCTTTTTAGATTTTTGCATCGTTGTCTATGTGAGTTTAAATATCGTATGGGACCGAAATAATCTTTTCACATTTTTACATATAATTGCAGTATGGTGTTTTAAATATCCCTGCTTTTTAGGTTTTTACATCGTTGTCTATGGGATTTATTAGTTAAATGGGGGACATTCATAAAGCAATATAAGTGTGTTTGTTTTTTTGGTTTCTCCACAATATGAAGCTTAAGCTGTTAGTATCACCATCTCTCCTAGCAGATAAAGCGACATGTATAAGTAACCATGGCAACGTTATCAAATTGCAATATCCGACTGAAATACATCAATTAAAATATGTAACAGCTGCGTACTAGAGTTTGTTTTTAAATGACGTCACCAAATATTACGTCACGTAAACTGTGTATAAGAAGAGGTTCGATTCCGGTTAAACAAATGAGTAAACAAAACTGAAATCGCGACAGAGGTACTGTCGTGTCATTGAAATAATTTAGGATTTCGATCAGGTGATACACTTCATTGTCATTCATCATCGAAAAGTCACAGCAAAGTAACATATTGGGGCTAAAATTGTTGTCACGCTTATCTTCTGCGGCAGCATCGTTATCAACACGCAGGTCAGATTACATTTATATTGCCGATTATTAAATTTTTCGCAATATGAAACCTATTTTAAAAATAAAACACAAAACGGTTATATGTTATCTCGGTCATAGTGGTCGTCATGGCCATGATATCCATTTTGCGTTTCCTCTGTTTCTCTTTCATCGTTGGTGGCGTGACTTGCCTGACAAAACGAACCAGGTACTACAATTAATTTAAAATAAAACCAAACGAGAGTAATTTCTCAATTTTAAAATGCAAGCCAGAAAAACATCATCTATTTTGTATCATAGATCCACCAACCATTGCTTGTTACATGCTTTTATTTTATTTTATTCACCAGTTTACATATGTTATCTTTAGTTTATTTATTTTCACGAGCCGTTAACATTAAGGATGTAGTAAATGTTTTTTCTTTGAAAATATCAAATTTACTTTTTTTCCATATTCTCTTATACGAATATATGAAGCATGCATTTAACTAGAAAAAACAATTGTAGAGATGGTTTAGGAGGGTAATACATTTTGAATAAATCTGAGATATAGTCTGCTTTATATTTTTTGTGATTTTTCACGCTTAAGTTAACATCGGTATACTTTTTATAAATATACATTTTTTTAAAAACTGTAAATGTGTGTGTGTGTGTGTGTTTTACGGAGGCAAAGAAGTTTGTATGACTAGTATTGATATTGTGCTTCCTGGAAATTCCAGGGCCAGGGTACTTTAATTCACATATTAATTGAAACATTTTTATCGCATTGCAACAGGCAAATATATGTCTTGTCAGAGGTAACTGAACTGAAACTTGACACATACAATGACACGAGCGGATTTTGGTACCACTATTTGTGCAAATAATGACTTGGTTGGTATTCTTACACTTGCATCACATTCAGTGCGATATATTTAGCATTGTCATTTACTGGGATGTTGTTATAGCCATGTTGATTGTAGAATAATTTGAATAATTAATACCGGGTATTTTCATCCTACCATATAAGAAAATGTGAATTCCAAATATGGAATGATTACGCACGTAAGCGTCCTCTAATAATAAAAACAAACACGGCTGCCACCAGTTTGTCCGGAATCCACATAAAGAAGTTCGCTGATTCTTTTCTAAACTTTTTGGATTTCGGCATTC